ATTAAACAAATGACTTCATTTTCTTGGTGAGACAAAAACTTCATTCAGGAACATGTAATAAAAAATGAATGGTTAATATTACAGTACACCTGCAGTAATGTATGATCTGTACCAGCTCCATTTTCCCCTAATCATATAACATATATTTGTCACTGTTTTTCATAGCTATGAGATTACTTATTGCCAATTAATTTTAAGTTCACCTAACAAAAAAGCAGTTGTGAACAAAAATCTTCATCATGTGTTTTACTCTTTGCTTCTGGAATGCCTGTTTGATGGGTTGGCTGCTGAAGCCAAGCACCATAACTGATTTAGAAATCTTACATTGTCCCTGTTGTTTTGGCTCATGTAACTCTATACAACTTCATGCTCCTCAACTGCACACACTTCCTCCCCTGCCTACTGTTATCATGGGCTTTTTGTAATCACTGCTGTGTTTTCAAATCCCACTACGCTTTTCACATGCAAAACCACAGAGCACACTGTGTTACTTCATATATAAGAAGACTGATCGTGATTGCAAGCAAACACTGCAATTTTGGAAGTGGAGAAAAGCTACTCAGCAATCTCAGGTTCACTTTTTTCCTAGCATGTCCCTAGTGCCAGAACTGACTCACTGCCTGCAGTCTGAGAACATGCCATAGCTGTGGGAAATGTCTGCTCGCTGTTCTCCCTGACATCCTTAGCTTCCCATTAGCCTTGACACGGTGAGTGACCATGGCCATGCTGCAGCTTTGTCTAAAGCCCTGCCCTGAGGCATGGTAGAACATATGCTGCAGGCTTACTCCATACAAGCAGTAGGGATGGCTGGTAGCTTGGGGAAGGGCTCAAGCTGAGCTGCAAGTTGTGGTCCACCTACTTTGCCAGATCATCTGCAGATCTGCAGAGAAGTACACACAGGATGTAATGGTATCAGCATCTGAGACTTTATGCTGGTGAAGCCACTGCTTGCACACCATGAAGAAAATTCAGTATTTCTATACATAATTTTATCCATTTGAGAAAAAGGGCAGTAAGACATCTTTTTTCATTTTTATTTTAATTTTAGAGAGGATGGTAAGACTGTCACTATTTAGCAATTTAGATTACCCTCTCCAGTTCAGTGTATAGGGACAGAGATATCATTTTACCTCTACAGCTTTCAACAAACTTAGCTTTGCAACAGTCCTCTTTCACTGCTTGTGAACATTGCATCACATCATGTACACTGTGCCCAAGAATGATTTTCTCTCTTAAATAAAAACATTTTAGAAACAATTCCTTTATTTCATCAGTCTATGGCTGCATGTCTGCACACATACTATTTCATCTGTTGCTGGCTGGCTGTGTGCAGCATTAGTGGGTAAGATAAAGACCTTCCAGTGTCCCAGGCAGGTAATGCAAACCTGGGTGTGATATTTACATTAAGGATGACCGATAAAGGGAGAGTACCTTTGGTCAACACAAATGCCATTTGTGGTGAGGGCTAGTGAGGCACTTTTTGTTGCTTGAAGTAATTCTGGCCTCATTGCTGCTGGATCTGGGCCTTTTGGCCATTACTTTGTCCCTTGCAGCCTGTTGACTTCCACAGTGAGGCTCTCCTCTTCCCTGCCCCTTCCAGCTCTTAACAGTGTAATTGCTTTTCACAGCCTGCCTGGTTTCTGGTGCACTGAAAGGGTCTGTGGAAATCCCAGGAGCATGTAGCAGGGAGGCAATCTGTAATCAAGCTGTTACTACTCTGGCCAAACGAGCACTCCCTGACAAAGTGTATATCTCTTGGCCCATCTCCTCCTGTTTCTCCAAGTCAGTCATGTGCAACTGCTATATGACAGCATTACTTCTCTGGATAAGCATGCAAATTACTGTATTCTTGACATCTGTTGTGCATTGGGCTAATTCCTCTGTTTAGTCTTTCTGTCCCATCTCTTCAGTGATTCTCAGAGATGGGTAGCTTCTTTTCTTCCCTCTCCATCTTTATGCTCCCCAAGAGACCATGTGGGAACTGTGCACAAGGACATTATAAATTATTAAAACCAGGTTTGCCTATATCAGTAAGCCCAAGAACATGTGTTGGTGCAATAGTTGTGGTTTGCTTTGCATCTGCTTGCCAGTTAGCTTTCAACATTCAATATTTCTTAATGTCTCACCACCTTATTCTGATATGAACCAGAAAAATTTTCTCCTATTTTTAATCGCATGAAGCTGGCTCAGCCAAACAGAGTCATAGAATAATAACAGCAAAGTCCATGTAAGTGCAGTTCCTGGATGCCAAACATCATCAGCCACAAAGCCACTTTGGTGAGTTCCTCCAGGACAGACAGCAGAACCTGGGAGCTGCTGAAAAAGCCGGTATCTTAACTGTCCCTTATAGAATGATCTTATCCCCACTCCATGATGCCTGAATTTCTATTTCCGCTTCCATGGACTAGAGATAATGAACAGACACACCTTGCTTGTAGAGGCTTTTTGGAAGCTTCTGTTGAAAGGAACTACCAGGATGCTAAACACTACTTAAGATTTTGGTTATTTTATTGGGATGTCCTAAGAGAGCAAAATCCACCTGAATGTGGCAAGGAAGCTGCATGTAGCCCTGGTGCGGGAAATAGCGATCTAGTGAGATGGGCAAAGAGTGACACATGTGGGGAATAGCCTGGTCTTCAAGTTAGGAATTTCACAGCCTAGCTCCGGTATCTTGAGCTGTATAAATGAATCATCAGCACAGCGAAACCACAGAATGATACCAGCTTCCCTTAAAAATTCTTCCTATACATACAGTTGCTAGACTTGCATATTTCTGTTTATAAATACCCAGTTATAAATGACCACAAAGTGACATGTCCTTCTCAGCAGACAGCTCCTAAAAAGATACAATACTTGTTCTGTCTTTCATTTCTTCCAGAGTTATTTTAAACCAAACTTTTGTACCTTCAGACACACTATTTTAACTTGAAGTCCTGGTACTAGTGCATGTTTTCTGAGTAAAAAAATATCATCTAGAACAGAGCTCTTCTCAAGAAAGGTTATTGAAAATGTCGATCTTATTAGGTATATCTGAGGACATTTTCCTATCTGGGAACTGCACTGCTACTCTGTAGATATTTGGGTTTAGTTTATTTGACTAAGGCAGGTCAGCATATGATATTGGACTATAAACTGACTTTAATCCCTTTAGCCTGCTCCAGCTGCATTTTCCAAGGGGCTGTGTTTTCAAAGAGTCTGGAGTTGTAGTAGTGTGAGGAAAACTGGTCGCTGCTATTGTGTATGAATGGGAAACCCAAAGCATTGCCTCAAAGAGGAGAAAGGCAGAGCCCAGTCCTTACATGTGCTGATGGGCAATGACAAGCTGACCAGTTATCACAGATGTAGTTGTGAGCAAGCCTAAGGATGTGCTACACCTGGCCTAGACAAACTAGTCACGGGCGAGGTGGGAGCAGTGGGTGTTATCTGGGGGGAGCATGATAGGGAAAGGCCACGAGGGGAGAGCTGAGGTGGCTGCAGTGGAGGGGTGTATGTGTGTCAGGGCATGGGGCACGAATCTGCAGGAGAGCAGGTGATGCTAGCTCTGATGCTCACTGAACAGCTTGCTGTTGGATGGCTTTACTCAGTGAACGCAACGAATGTATTTGCAGCAGCTGGTAGGTACAATTTTTCCAAAGACATCAATACCCATTTCCTGAAGTTTTACTCTTTTTGAGTCTGGTAAGCCTGTGAGTTAGTTGCTGGGCCTGGCTCTTGTGACCAGCGTTACCATTAAACACTCCCACCTCTATTGCATAAGTCACTTACATACTAATAGCCTGAACTTAGACATACTATAACAGAGGTCACTCAGTCTGACAGCCCTTCTGTCTGGTGTCATATAGTGAACTGGAAAATAAAGGACTGAAGTAAGTCTATAATCCATGAGGTCAGTTTCTTAGAAGACCAGCGGTTTCATAGCCCAAATGTGAGAGTTTAGCATCAATGGAGACGAGTTCTTTCTTTTCATTGAGAGGATGGAGTGCTCCCAGGCAGTAACTAACTTCAGTCGCATTATCAGCCTTTTAGGACTGTGGGTAACAGAACAATTTAAGGAAAACCGGACAGCCTTGTGTGGGGCTGATAACTGTAGAGACCCTTACAATGACTGCATTGATCGGGATATAGAAACTGTAGAGATCATTGCACATTGAAACATTATGTTTTGTGACTTTCTTCTTTTTACTTATTTACTGAAGTTGCTGTAATATGGCAGATACTGCTTGCACAAAGGAATATGTGCAACCCAAGCACATAGCCCCAGCTTTCTCAGCCTGGCTTCATATGGGAGGTGCTCCAGTCCCCTGATCATCCTCATGGCCCTCCTCTGGACTTGTTCCAACAGTTCCATGGCCTTTTTATGCTGAGGACACCAGAACTGCACACAATACTCCAGGTGAGGTCTCACAAGAGCAGAGCAGAGGGGCAGGATCACCTCCTTCGACCTGCTGGTCACACTCCTTTTGATGCAGCCCAGGATACGGTTGGCTTTCTGGACTGTGAGCACACACTGAAGCTGCCTCATGTTCAATTTCTTATCGACCAACACCCCACCAACATTCTTTATACTCCATTGCAAAGAGAGCATTAATGTAAGCTGTGACACTAAGATGAGTGGAAGGAAGGGGGAATCAACCCATTTGTGATTCATGAGTGATCTGGGAAATCACGAAAGATATATGTTGTCCATGAAGAACTTGCTAAACCACATTATGTAAGGACTGCAATTATTTAGCTGCTGACTATGCTGCAGGACACCTTTTGTTACCCATGAGATTTTTTTATTTGAGGCAGAGCACGAAATAGTCATGTGAAGACATGAGTGTATGTGAACTACCATTCGTCAGAAAAAGGGAAATTTAGTCATATATTTGGCATTCATTTCCCCTCTTTTTTGGGAAATCCAAACACATATTTTCTCTCTCTCTCTCCCATCCTCACTCTACGGAAGGAAAAAAAGGTGGGTCTAAAATGTCGTTTGCTTCTGACACAAATCTGATTGGGCAATGAGAGAGAAATTTCCGCTGTGTGTTGAGTTAAACCCTATATAAGGTCCTCACTAGCACTTTTCAGTCTTGCATCTTTTCGTGAGAAGCTAATGGCTGAAAGGCTTCTGAAGCACAGGTAAGAGAGTCTGATGGTAACTTGGGAATGAAACCTTTCTAAACCCTCAGGTTTAGAGGAGACTGACAGATACTAAAACAAAGGGACCAGAAAGCTCTGAACAAAATATCCCAGTATTTTCATTAGGCAAAGATCTAATGAGAGAGAAACTTCCCTGTTACAAGGTATTACATATAAACTAAGGGACTTGTTAACGCCGCAGATGGAGCCTAGTCCATGCATAGCCAAGAGGGGCTACAGCTCCATGCCAGTGCCCTTAAAACTCTTGCAGATCCAGCAGTAAGGGAGAAGACCCATAGTTATGAAACAGTGTTATTGAGCAAGAGGTTGGCTTTGTGGTGTGGTAGAGATGATAATAAGCTAGAAATAGTATGTTATAGTCAGACTATCAGATGTCAGATAAATATAGCTACTAGAACAGGAAGAAATTTGGATTAAAACCACATTATAAATATGAGCATGATGGGATACACAGAAGATGCCTGAAGGTGAGTACCCAAAAATATGACTGCATTATATTAGTTGAAATATGTTTTTTTTTTGTTTTGGATACAATTTGAAGTAGTTGTGCAGTCATTTATTGTTCATCCCATGGGAAAATCACAGTGTTAGGCTAACACTGAATGCAGGCGATTTACATTTCTCTCTGTAAAATGGAAATAGTATGTATCACATGCATATGTGTACTGTATAGCACATAAATACCTTACATAGAACATACACTGATGCCTGTACAAAGTGTGTTTTATCTATTATTGCTTGCAATACACTGAGATAGCACATAATCTATCAACTGAGTAGCAGCAACTGAAACCTCAGGGCAGACCAGAAAGCATTCAGTCATGTATGTAGAAGCTGTCTTGACTGTGCCAGGCCAATACAGATGACAATCAATCAATGTATGACTGGCAGTGGGTAGTTTTGTTTTCCCTTAGTGTCACTGCCTCTGATTTTTAGGACAAGTTCAGGTGTTTCCTCACGTTTCTTAGCAGAGACGGTAAAAGAGTGTACATGTTGAAAACTCACTTGTGCACCAATAGGAAGATGGGTGTGCATGCCATGGGAGTCAAAGTTTTGTCCCAAGAGAAACATTTGTTGGAGACTTTGAAAGCTTGGCTCTGCCTAGAGCAGAGTTTGCCTGCAGTCTCATCTATGCTAGGTGGCCTACTTTGGTAGCCGCAGAGGAGAACACAAAGAGACACAGGATTTAATGAGGGCAATAGAACACCTGAAGTGACTGCTTAAAAGAGCTAAAGTCTATTCCACTGCATCTTTGCTCCTGTGTTCACTCAAGCTACTACACTACACCTGACTTGAAGTAGCTGACCTGTGCCTCAGTCACATCTTACTGCAAAATAAGCAGTGCTATATTTTTCCACCTGTAGCTGCTGCACTGAAAAGCTTTGAGGATAGCAGCATCTTGTGGTATGTTGTTTGCATCTCCCAAAATGAAAGGGACAAGTGATGCGTTCTTGCCAAGCCAGATGCTCTTGTTCCACAAGTCAGCCCCCATAAACTAGAGATGAAGAAGCCTTTCTGCTCTTCAAAGGTGAACCAAAGCTCACCATGTCTGGAGGGAGGAAAAGAGCAGATGACTCTTAAGTTAATGTTTAGTATTTTCGTTGTATATTCTGTCTTATCACAAACTTCCCTGTAGATTTCAAAACACTTTTCCTCGATCTTCTCCTTCTGATTTCCTCTGGGAAAAAATGTATGGGCTCTTCTTTGTCCTGGTGATGTGCACAGTGGGTGCCTCTGCTTTCAGACTCCAGCAAGTCAAAAGCACAGGTAAGGGCATGCTTTTATTTTTTAACCTTCTGTCTCCCTCTCCCTTCTTTTAATGTGCCTGGCTGATAGTAATTTCAAAATATCTCTGATTTGTACAGAAAACTGCCCACATCACACCGTGTATTTCAAACACTATTATGAACTGCATGAAGAACCTGTGGTTCTGAAATGCCCTTCCCCCAGACACAAACATTGGGATTTTTCTGCCTTGACCCCTAATATCACATGGTATAAAAATGGTTCAAAAACCATGATATCAGGAAGAGATGAAGATCCAAGAATATGGGCAAAAGGAGACGCACTCTGGTTTTTACCAGCAATGCTAGAAGACTCAGGAGTATATATCTGCACCAGAAGGTGGGTATTTAAAAGAAAATCCAATGTACTGACAAGATGACTATGTCAAAACCACATTAACTGGATTCTAAACTCCACTTATGTTCAGGGTATGCCTGGATAAGATTAGAGAAACAAAAGTGGAAAGTCAGAACTCTTCAATGCACTGTGTGTCTCCTATAGATATATATACTGAAATTGAGATAATTGTGGCACAATATTGCCGCTCTGGTTACCATCTCATGTATTTACTACACTGGTACCAGACTTGTGACATTGCAGTGGGTTGAGACTGGAGCCATGGCTTTTTTCAGTCATCCTTTTCTGAGTGTTTACAATCTGACAGCCCTCTATATAGTTTCAAAAGAGGTACCAGGGTCTGCATCTGCGGGGATCTGAGGAAGGCAAAAAACACCCATCACCTCTGGAGCCTGAACTCCAGGTGTTCTAGGTCCTTGTCCCCAGCTCCTCCATCCAGTCATCTTCACAGAACTTCTCTGGCAACTGGAACCTTGCTCTGGGGTCTACAGAATTAAACATACCTCTATATTCCTGGATCTGCTTGTGTAGGGTGCAGTTTTCTTGCTGGCAAGGCACCCCTCGTGAGTGACATGTCAGCAGTGGAAGAGATGGACAGGCAGAAGCTAATAAATCATACTCAGCAGGTTGTCCTTTCCACATGTCGAGGCAGAGATTGCAGAAACAGAGCTGAAAAGAAGACTTTGATAGTGAGGCCAGAATAACAAAAGGTTGCAAATATTGTCCTAGAGCACAGAGTAGTTGCCTGAGACTTTCAAGGGTGTTTTTAAACCCCCTTTTTGGACTATACTGCATCAGTTCCTCAACCTACAACACTATGGCAGTATTACTGAGAGCTATAGTAAAATGCTGTGAAACCTGTCTGAGAAAAATATGCAAGAGCCACGTACATAGCTTCATTGCTTGCATTATTACGAGATTGATAAAGTACAAGTTGCCTTTCCTTTGCAAATCATCCCACAGGGAAGCCGCCACATTTTTTTCAACACTCTGTAACATGACAGTAGAAGCAAACTATCACAGATCTCTGCTTCTGCAAAGCAAGTGCTTTGGATTTTGGCATCTGACCTGTAGGTGATGGCAGGTCCCAGAGCCCTAGCAGTAGTGTGAGTCCATCTGCTTACAGCACTCCAGGGGCACCAGTGATTTTCCAGGATCCCTCCTGGTAGGATTTCAGTCTTGGCCTCTTAGAAACTGCTGAGGAGGGCAATGGAGCCAGGAGGAAACTCAAGGGTGTCACTCAAGTTCCCCTTGCCACTGGTGGGTGCTCACCTCTCCCCACTCTATCTACAGGAACTTCTCCTACTGCACTGAGGTCTCCATCCACCTTACTGTCATGGAGAAAACAGCTGCTCAGGAGATTGCCTATCTCCAGGTCCTTTCCACTTTCACCTCTGGAAAGATTGTTTGCCCTGACCTATGGGATTTTACACCAAACAGGACAAGCCTGGAGCTCAAATGGTACAAGGTACAACTTTCACCTCCTCTTTGTGCAAAGCCTATGCCCAACCTGTTTGTAAAGTTACATACATCTCCGCTTTCTTTCTCTCCTGAACATCATGTTGTTAAAGTCATGAGCACAGCAGAATATCCTGGGAATCTGGGGGCAGATATATATATTTTAAGAAAGTTTCTCTGGGGTGGGCTTAGCACTGGGTGAAGGGGTCCATATGTTATATCCTCTCACAGGCAGTGTAACTGTTTTAAAGGCTAGATTACCTATCCTGACTCTAGGGTTTGCTACTTCAGATCGGGCCCTTCTCTTCGGCACTATGCTTCTTTTTGTGGCCTCTCTAGTGAATCCCAGAAAGTAGGACCTCCCAGTGATGCTTCCCAAGTGCTCAGGTGGGGTAACTTTCATTAATCAACTGGAATACAGCATTTGGGAGTACAAGATTCATCACACGATGCTTCTAGTGTTCCTTGCCTAACGTTGATAGTCCCTGGCTTTTCAAGTAGGCAAGCTTGGCTTTGCCTGCAAGGTCAAATATGCTTCACTTGGTCATCCTCAGCTGCACAATCTCACACTGGACAGCATGGGATTCTTCTGGTATTTTTGTAATACCTTGCTTTAGCTTTTCTTTGCACTCCCGCTATGAGCATATGCTCTGCCTCATGTAGCTGTCATTCTTGCCATAGGACAAAATAACTAGGCAGGCTTCATCCATGGCAGGAGGGTTGGAACTAGATGGTTTTCCAACCCAAGCCATTCTGTGGTCATATGTAGAGTAAGCAATAGTTTTGTGAAAACCTTCATGATTACTAGTATTTGTCTTCAAATAATGTCTTCTTAGAATATTACTCTTAAGAGGTCACGTATGGAAAGTAATAGTGTTGTGAAAACCATCATGGTTACCATCATGGTTTTGTCTTAGAAGAATGTCTAAGATGATTAAGAGGAATCATGAAAGAGCTAGTTATATCTTTTTCACCTTAAGATATGCACCTTGTTGAAAAGCTGTACACACACGTTGTAGATGATAGATCAAAATAGTGATTTTTCTCACTCCATATAGTGCCTCAGAGCATTTTAGAGATGGATGTACATTTGAAGATCTTTCCCTTTGGTGGGAAAGTGGGACTGCTCACATTTCCTAGTGATTAAAAGAACTTTTAATACCAGAGAGACAAGAATCAGTGATTTTGTCTGGAAGTTACACGGGGTGTAACCACACCTGTCTGAGCCGTAACACCAATTCCTGTCCTTCCTCCAGGATTCTCTACCTTTGGAAGCTGACAGTGGAAAATTCATAATTCTGAAAGGTTCGACTTCTCTGATCATGAATTCTGTGCTGCCAGCAGACTCTGGCTATTACACCTGCAAGATGTCATTTCCATTTGAAGGTGTGATGTATGAGATCACAAGAACAATTCACCTCCAGACTGTTGGTAAATATCAACCCCTTCAAACACTACAGTGCTGAACAAAATCTTTTGTTAATGCAACAGTGGGGAGGAGCTCGTACCCTAGCCTCTCAGCACTGTCAAGGGAAGGGGGATGCCAGGGGTGCCTGCTTTGGCACTGGGGGCTGTCCCAGAACCCCCATCAGGGCTGGGTCACCTCTTCAAGGGAGATTTAGGTTGGATATTAGGAAAAAAATCCTTCACTGAAAGGGTGCTCAGTCATTTGAACAGGCTGCCCAGGGCAGTGATGGAGTCACTGTCCCTGGACGTGTTCAAAGACCATGCAGATGAGGCCCTTATGACATGGTTTAGTGGTGGACTTGGCAGTCCTGGGGCAGTGGTTGGACTTGATGACCTTAAAGGTCTTTTCCAGCATACTTGATTCTATGATTTGGCTGACTTGGCGCTGGTTTGCGGAAAGCAGAACTCCATATTGCAAGTTTGTGTGGTTGTAAAACCCAGTAATTTATGTCTCCGGGGGGGTGTCACTGCCGGTACCCCCGGAGGGCTCAGGAAATGAACACCGAACACCCCCAGGACGGGACAAAGCCGCGATTCCGCAAACGGGGGAAACCCGCTCCACCCTCCGGGCGCGCTTGCGACGAGCGGCCAGCAGGGGACGGGCGTGCCTTGGCGCTCACAGCGCCGCCCCGCCCCTCGCCCCGCCCCTTCACAACGTCACACCAATAACCACGCCCCTCACCACGCCGGGCGAGCGCTGCGGGGCGGCTCTGGCAGGTGGTAGAGGCGAGGGTGCTGCTTCCCTCGGCTGGGTCCTAGTGCCCGTCGGTAGGAGTGCGGAAGACGTGGTCTTCGTTCATGTGCACATCCGTTCTCAGCTTAAGCGTGTGGCTTTTCTGGTTTTGCAAGTGTGAAATGGGTGTGCAGGGATCTCGGTGCTGACTGCTCACCGAGCTTAGTGCCTGACCTTACTCTTGATTCCCAAAAGATGCTCGCTTCTCTGCCAGAAATTCCTCCCAGTGCGGCTTTCAGGATCAAGCTGTGGGCTTAATCCTGTCTTAATTCCATGAACACAGATCTCTGGGCTTGCAATTGGCATGTCTCCGTTTGCCAGTGGCTTAATAATGAAATGGTTTCCTGAGAGGTGAGAGATACTGAGCAAAGTGGCATGGTTGTATCACTATATGGCGATATAGCTCTGGGGCAGTGCCCACATACTCTCTTCTGCTAGCACTGACTCTCTGTTCTCTTTCTCTCTCCAGAAAAAGAAAAGATAATTACTCCAATAATTGTGTATCCAACACAAAAGACAACATCAGCTGCTCTGGGTAAGGCCCAACATTATTTTTGGAAATATCTAATCAGAGAAAAATCAGACTAGGTCCACTTCTGCTGTAATTTATTGGCATAAATTGTTGCAGCTCTTTTGATCTCTTTTATACTGGCTGAGGGGTGGTGCCAGGGTAGTCTCTGCTTCTTACTGTCTACAACTAGATGTGATCTGTCGTGTAGGAGAAGCTGCAGAGCTGCTGTAGACTTTAGCCACTAACAAGGCGATAAAAGCATGTTTGCACCATTAGATCAGTTGTCCAGAGCTCTGTCTTCACTAAGAACTTTCCTTTTGCAGTGTTTCCTCAAATTGGTCTAGGTTACCTGGTGACTTTGAATGAGCCATCCAGCTTTTTTGGGAGGAGACATTTATTGCTTTTTACTGTTTGAATGGGGCAATTGATAGTTAGAAAATACCTTGATAGGGTCTCAATTTTTCTGTGAAGATTATATTATGACAACAAATTTATGTGGCATTTCCTTTCTGCTGAAAATGCCAGGTATGTTTTACATTCAGCTTTCTTACCTTAGGTACTATACACACAGCTGTGGCCTGTGATGTCTTAGTTTTCCCTGCCACTTTTCTTCCCATCAGCGTAGAATACCAAGTGATTTTATTTTTTTGCTTATTGACCTCTGTGGAGTGTTTTATATCCCTTGTATCACCATCTGCACCAATACAATAATAAGATTGTATGCATTATTGAGCCTGTGTAATATAGATACTTACCAACCTGAAGGCTCTTTGTCCTTGGCTCTGAGTTGCAATAATTACAGCAAAAGTTCTGAACTTTTGCAAGATCACTTTATCCTTGGAGGTCCAACTTTGAGTTTAATGCCCCTGCCCACAGCATCTCTTAGTGAAGCTCTACTGCTGGCTAATGCAGCTGCTCCAGAGTGGTAAATCACATCATGCCATTTAGGCTGCAGTACATCAGAAGGAGCAAGGCCACAGAAGCAAAGCTTTGCCTCCTGAGGAATGTGTCTAGTGCAAGACTAGCTAATTGTTGCAATGGGAAAATAACTTAGTTGGCAGTGGGAAGGACTGCCAAACTGAAGGGTCTTGCTGCCAAGAGTAGGGAATCAAAAGCAACCTGGAGCTTGACTTCAGAGTTGAATGTAGTGGTGCCTGACGTGCACGGGAACTTGATCTCCTAGAGGGGAGGTTGGTTTTCACCAAGACAATGACTAGTTCTTCATAGTATCCAAACAGGGTTTTACCCATTTTCTTTTATCAACAGGCTCCAAGATGATTCTCCCATGCAAAGTGTTTGTTGGACTGAGTGGCCACGTCCATACTGATGTGGAATGGCTAGCGAATGACACCACCATTGACGTGATTTACAAGCAAAGCAGGGTTACAGAGGGCGAGCGACAGTAAGTTTGGCTTAAAGTGTTTCCTTGTTCCAGGGGCTCTCAGTGCAGCTGAATGCCAGGTAGTGAAATGGGATGTGGACAGATTTGAAGTGAAGGTGAGAGCTGAGAAAAAATGGAGGCAAGCAAAAAAAAAAAATAAACCCATACCCAACCAAGGCACAGGGTGAAATCAGTTCTTTGTCTCTGTTTCTTGTTCATGGTACGAGCCAGCTGCAAGGCTTAAACTTGAAGCACATTTTCATGGGCAGCTGAGCTGATGGAAGAGCTGGCTGCAGTGAAAAGCAATGGGACTTGGTCCTTCCCAGTGCTTCTCTTATCTCTCACCAGCAAAACGGCAACATCTGGTACCTGAGATTAATGAGGCTCTCTGAACACACTAAGACAACAGAAAACTACTCAGTGGTTTGGGTTTTGTTATTGTTGTTTTAACGTCATTGTTTTTCCCCTTAGGCTTGTTCTTTTCCAAATTAGTGAGCTAAGTTGACTCACAGAGATGCCCAGTGAGTGCTAGAGCTGGCGCCAGGGAAACACTAGGGGGAATGCTGCTGGGAGGGAGAGGGAGGATGTGGCACATCCTTTTGCCCTGATCCGTTGTCTCTCTCGGTCTTGAGCCTTCTTTCAGCTGCCTCATAGCCATATGCCTCAAGGATTTTCCAGCTAGGAAAGGAGGAAAAAGATCTGCTTTCTGTACCTGTGACATACTACCTGAGAGGCAATAATGCTTTGCAAATGTGGGGTAAACCTACTGACTGAAATCTCTTCACTGAGGTCCAAGTCAGCAAGTGTATCTCTCATTTGATAAAGCTGAGCATGTCCATGAGAACATCACCCTCACTCGGGCCACAGTGGCTTTGCTTGTAATGATGGACAGAGCCCAGAAGGTTCCTGGTTCTGGGATGCCTCTGTTCGTTATGGTTAAACTGGTCACTCACCAGCTAACAACTTCCCAAAATTGCTCCTGGCTATTGATTAAGATTTAGCATGGGGTAGGAGCTGTTGCCAACAGAGTTTGGGGATGTAGCATCCCTATTATGAGGGACAGTTATGGTTAGCTGGTTTTGGCCATTTGTATCTATCAGTGCCACATAACAACCTGGCCATGCTTAGTTTATTGAGCAGCCAGAGGTAACATGGCAACTCAGCTGTATGCCCAAGCCCTTCAGTGTTTTCACATTCCCCACAGCATCATTAAGACCATTAATTTATAATGTTTACATGAAAAGTGACAGTGCTTTAAACCTGTGGTCATGAGCTATAAAATTTACTGTTGCTGTAGTCTCTGCAGGCTTTACAATAGAGCAGCACATGTACTTTCTTACTTGGACTTTAAAAAATATTTTTATGATTGCTATCAATATCATTATTACTGTTACCTGTTATTATACAATTGCATTAGGATAGATACCATGAGAGCTAAGGCTCATGCGGAGCCCACAGTGTGTGAGACGCCCCAGTTCTGCTGGAAGAAAGGCAAAACAGCTCAAATGCCACTGGGAAGTCAGATTCCCTGCAGAAATCTCTGGCAAAGCACCCACTGCAGTGTTGCTTCCTTCCTGCAGTACAGTCGCAGGAGGAGTGCACAGGGAACAACATTGCCACAGTGCATAGCAGACTCATGATCAGATCATTAAAGAGCATCTGGACAGCTGCTCCAGCAATGACTAAAACGTATCAGCAGACAATGTCTGACTGCAGCTAGAAAACCACTTACAAATAGTTGGACTGATGAAACAATCAATCAGGTTGAAATAAGCTGGAAACTTCCTAGACAAGTTTCTTGTACTAAGCGCTTGGCTTTGGCTGTGTGATAGACAGGGATGGTGGTTCAGTTTGCTGAGTGAGCATTTGCAGGGTTGTGTTCTCCATATGTTCTCTTCCAGCTCATAGCAGGAATTAATCTCAGAAATGAATAGGTGGTCAGAGAATTAGGTAATGCCACATTGCTGTGTAGAGAGTGCAAAGGTACACAGAATTCTGCTTGCCTTTCTTGTCTCCCTTTTCTTCAGTTTTTGAAAGACAAATCCAGATTTATTTTTTTTCCTGGAGAAGTCAACAAGTGCAGGATGGGTACTGACTGCTGAAACTCAAACAGTTGGCACAACTGGTTTGGAAGACACAGTTGTCCTCTAATGCTGAGGGGCTAGTTTAGAAATGAGCAAATAGCTAATGCAATTTCTTGCAATGTGCCAGTAGAATGAACACATCAAATGGCAAAAAAGCCAGCTTATAAAAGGATTTATCGTTAAATTTTATTTTTCTTCCAGAGAAATGGTAGAAAATGGTGAAAACTTCATCGAAGTGTCACTGATTTTTGATTCTGTCGAAGAAGTGGATTTTTACACAGATTTTACATGTCTGGCCCAGAACAGATGTGGATACCAAGTACTGCCAACAAGGGTCAAGCAGGAAGGTAACTAGTTTGACTGCTTATTTGGGATAATTATTATCATTATTCTAATGCTAAATTATCATACAAACCTTTTATACTGTCAGACCTAGTATCAAAATGAATTACTGCCTGGGGAAAACCTCAGGAAAACCTGCCTCCTTCACCTGTGGACTTTGAAATAACCTGTTCACAAAATACAGTTTTTGTGGGTCATTCAGTGACATTTTCTGCAGGGATAAGGATCTGTGCAGGTATATCTGTTCACTGGAGAGGGCTCCAGTTTAGATACACTCTGTGCAGTGATGGCTCCAGTGAGACTACTGGCAGACTCCCACTGGATGCAGCAGAGCCAAATCCTGTCCAGTTCCTCAACAAGTAGGAAAAAAAGACAATAGCAGAATAAAGATCGGAGTGTTCCTTCTCCTCATGCACAGACTGCCACCAAAATAACAAGAAGTGTAAATGATGATTGGTGGTGTTATTTTGGCTCCTGGTGATGGGAAGAGAAGCCTTAAGCTCAGTGCAATTAATGCTGCAGTGTGATAGACTGCTGGCCAAGAACCAGCTGTAAAAACAATGTGAAGCAATACTAATTGTTTCTTTGCATGACGTTGATGAATCACCCAAGCTTGTTCACTGTCTTAGAAAGGAGCATGAACATTTACAGTCTTCATTATGAGTTATAACTCATGACTCACTTCAGCACCCTTTGATGAGCAATTTGGACTCACTTTGCTAAATGATGTGCTGCTCTTGTCTTCCATGAGTTACACAGGAATTACTACAGAGGAGGCAATCCATGAACCAATATAGGCTGGAATAATCCAAAACGGTCTGGATGAACACTGGTGTTGGAAATTAGCTGCATTTTGGGAAAAAGCTCAGAGTCCTAGCTTGGTCATTAGTAATTTATAAGCCAGTCTATATGAGAAAATTAATCACGCAGCTTGAGGGTGGACCAGGTGGTGCTTTTATGTCCTGCTTGGAGTGTCTCTCCTTTCACCAAATAAAGAGAAAGCTCACAGCAGCTCTGGGTAAGGGGTGGGAAGAGCCATGTGTATGCAAAAAACCTGAACTTTAAATTCTCACCCTCTGTTATTTTCCAGTTCTTTCTCCCATCTTCATAAAAAACTATTTACCGGAGCACTCAATCAATAGACCTCTTCCTTTCACTTCTTTTCCTGATCAGGGTGATCAGCCCTGCTGGAAGGTTAATGTGCAGACATCCTCTTTATTGTGATTTCTCCTCCTCCTCCTTGAACTTAGAGAACTATGTTCCTGGGAGGGTTATTTTTTGAAAATACTCCATTTCTTTACTTTTCCAGCTGTTGGCTTGTCCTGGTACGTTGCAATGATTCCCATCGCATTGGCCTGCGTGATTGTGGTGGGGATATGCATACACAAGTGCTGGAAGCGAAGAGCTAATAAGGGATACACAACAGCAAAGGTTTAAAATTTGCTTTATGCTCCAGCCACCAACAGAGCAAGAAATCATCCTGGCTATCCTTCACATGGGACACAGAGAGACATTTCAGACTGCTTTCTCAACAGATGGGTATATATCAGCTCGTTTCCTCTTCTCCGTCTTCTATGATCAGATGAAGTTTTTAAGCTTTCATTTAATGCTGCCTAGACACAAAATACCCATAATTTGCATGGGACACAAATTACCACAGAATGTGCCCTGGATATTGGAAGGGTAGGGAAAGGGAGGTGCTCTCACCCTTTGTAATTCCAGCAGTCTTAATTTTTAAAAGGATCTAAAAACAGAAGATAAGAAAGCTTGCTGCAGAAGACCAATTCCACACTAAAGTGAAAACACAGTTTTCTTGTGCATCCAAACTTATTTTATTTTCCTTCAGTCTAAAAAGAGTATTTTTTTCCTCTTTTCCAAAGCCAAATACGGTTGTCATGGCAACTGTAGATCTATGAACTTTTCCACAGAAAATGTCATAGTTTTTTTTTTTGTTTTTTTTTGTAGCAGTTGTATTATTCTCTGCTTAAATGGACTATCTCAGAATATCCCTCCCCAGAGATAACTTCATCAACATAACAGATAATTGTACACTGAAGAATTCAGTTCTGTTTATCTACCAGTATCTGATAGCTAGGGATTCATAGGCAGCTGTGATGTGTTGTTATCTCTGCCAAGAAAAGAATTTGGAGGGATGTTTTAGTGTTTTGAGAGTTATTTGAATAGTCTAAAGTTTTATTCCTGGAAGCAATTGGACAGATTGCCAGTAATAACATACTTGCCCTTCTGTGACTCTTAAGTTTTTCATGGCAGGCCTGATTCTCCACTCTGATATGAGTATAAAAGTCTGGCATGGATTCCCATAAACAATGAGTCTGCACCAGTCTGAAGCTGGTGCAGCTTCAGGAACCTTCTGTGTTTTAACTGAAGCATGCAAATCACTTACTCATGATGTAAAATGCTGCCTGTTAGGTTAATCTAACTGGATTCCACTCTTGACGTAGATCAGAAGGGAGCAATAATCAGTGACCGTGCTGTACTTTGAGGATCAGAATAAGTAGAATGACTTAGTTACTTCCTCTTCCAAGAGAAAAGACTTATGATAGCTGAGAAATCATATATAATGTGTATTTATCTCCATCTGTATGGTAGGGGAAGAGATTCAGCCATAAGGTCTACTTACAGACCCTTAACTGACACCTCTCACAGATACCAAAGATAAAGTTTTTATTAGGTAAATCAGAGACTTTTCTAACTCTGTAGATATTAAAAAAAAAAATAAAATACTGGCTCCAAAGAAGCAAGTTATAACATAAGAATGTTAGGACTACACGTGGTTCCACAAACTAGGGACATGAGCAACTTGCACCCATCTGGGACTGACCATAATCTAATTCCTTTCCACCACAACTTACACCTGCTTCAAAGGTTAGCCCAATAAATATCTGGAAGGATTTTAAATGCTAGGATGAGGCTTGAATTAAGAAACCCTTCAATCTGTTAGCAAGAACCTTCACAGTTTGTGAGATTTAAGCCAAAGTTTTCCTTTAAATGTTCTAAATGTTTTCTGTGAAGATACAGGTACACATATTAGATTTCTGACACAGTCTGAGTCAAAGGCAGCCAAAGACCACTGGACTTACTCCTTCCAAGTGCAGGAAGAGGATGATAAACAATGCATATATTTTATGGACAGATGGGAAAAAGGTGGCCACAAGTGTGGAAAGCAGCCAATCCACTTGAATATCTATTCTTTGAAGGAAGAAAACTATAGATTAACTGATCACTGCTGGAAGAAGCATCAAAAATGGTATAGGTACATCAAGAATGCTCATTTTTGTGAAGAAATTGCTAGTTAAGGAAGAAATTAGGTTTGCCAGTAACTGTAACCTTTCCAAATGTGATTTGTTCTTCCTATCCATATGTATCCCCCAAGAGTAATGTGGTGACACATCTGGCTTTAGGTGCGGGGTTGGATTTCACTCAGTTGTGGAAAAGAAGCAGAACTTTTGGTATATGGAGTATCAGTGCCATAAGGAAGTTAAATACCTCAGATGCTCCTCCAAACTAGAAAAGGAGAAAGAAATTAGGCATACAGAGAATGGATGTTACATATTCAGGGCATCTTGAATACAAGGGCAATGTAAAGGAACAAAGGTTCATCTTTTATGAAGTGATAGCTGCTTCTCTGACTACAGGCATAGTAATATTCCACAGGCTTTCACCATAGGAAGACTCGTTCAAGCAAACTACATAGTGTAAATGTTTTACAGGTAGTCTTGAACAAGAGACCTACACAATGTAAACGTTTTACATAGATTTGGTTTGTTATAAACAAGGGTATCATGGTCTGTATTGGTTTTGAAAATGTTACGTGAAAAACAGACAAAAAAAGTAAAACCCAAAGTGCTGGTGTGTGAGTTGGGTGGGGAGGAAGCTGTGAGATGGCTCTTTGGGGGTGTCAGCTCTTCCCAGGAGAGGTTGGATTTTGCCCTCACTCTGCTGCAGAGGGACTTGTCCACTGGGGCCCAAGAGACCCTGGCTCTGTGGGGCTGCGGGGTGCGCTCTGTCCTTCAGTCCTTCCGCTGTTTCTGCTCTCACCCTATGGCACTGCCTTGTCACATCAGAGGGGGACCGAATCCTGATGGGCCAAGCTCCCTTCCTGACTGCCACCACGCTCATGGCTGTCCTTGCTCTGCAGTTCCCTGGGCGTCTGGGCTCACTCTGGGCACCTGGTATCATTCTGTGACTACCAGCTGTTGAAGAAGTATTGTGTTCCTTCACTGACTTCTATGGCGAGACTTCTGCAACGGGAAGTTAACACAGATCATCACTGTGGGGATGTGAATTGGGCATGTGCTCCCCAGGTGGGGAGATCTGTCTTGTTCACCTTCCCAAAGGCAAAATTTTTGTCTCTTCCTTTTTTTCAGTCAAAATTGGAGAACACCAGTGGTCACTTCACTTTAAGTAGGTCTATCCCACTAAGTTCAGTCACTGACCTCAATGCATTTTGAGGGGAGAATGTCCTGAATCTCAAGGCAAATTGACACTGAGGACTTACTTGTACTGGTTTATAATCAGACCTGAAAAGAAATACAGTATCAGGGAACACCACCTCACATCAAAGATTCAGGGCTCTACACCACAATGTTTCTATTGAGAAAAGGAGGATGAGGCCACTGCCTTCCTAGGTCTGTGTGGGTTTATAGCTTTTGCCAGAGAGCTCATCTGTCTGCAACAACTTCAGAGGCACACCTACAGAGGGGAAGAGGATGGTGTCCCATGGTCTTGGCATGAATTAGCATCCCGGACAGAGGCTGCTCCTGCAGAAGTAGTTCTTTTCCAGCAACACAGAATCATAGAATCACAGAATGGTTTGCGTTGGAAGGGACCTTACAGCTCATCCAGTTCCAACCCCCCTGCCACAGGCAGGGACACCTCACACTAAACCAGGTTGTTCAAAACCCCATCCAACCTGGCCTTGAACACTGCCAGGGATGGGGCAACCACAGCTTTTTGGGACAATATAAGTTCAGTTAACAACTATTTTCTTGTTTTACTCAGCATGTGTGACCTTGATGTCAGCTGTTCATCCAAATAGGCAGTGTAATTAATATTTGATGAGAGTAGCACCTAAAAAAAAGGGAACATGGAATTTGGAGAGCACCAAATAATTAGATCTACTGGCTCCCAAATAAAACTCTTAAATAAACGTGGGAGAAAATGGGAATAAGAACTGGATCCACACACAGGGCTGGTTGTGGCAGATCAAGATAAGAAGTTACTTTTAAAAGCTTACTTTATTCTAGTAGCTGGGGAGGACAGGTGTGTGTGCAGGAGGACAAGAAACATGTGGAATACCATTGCCAGGAATAATGCTTTAAGTATGAGAATAGCTGATGAAAGCGTTTGATGATTATTCTGACTCAAATCTCCAAAGCAAAAGGCCCAGAACAGCAAAACAAAGTAAGGAATAGGTCTTCAGTTTTGGAACTGAGAACTCCCTGTCCACTCGTAACCTCAGAGCTGCTAAACATAGCCTAGGGTGGGGTACATCTCATCCAGCCTTCACACTGCCAAAAAGAGTGCAGCCGGCCCAAGAGAGCCATTGATGTTTCCTCTCCACTCGGTGGAAAAAGAGTTATCTCCAGTGCCTAACTAAATGGGATGGATTTCCCTCTAGAGTTGCCTGTCTTTTTCCACCAGTTTAAGACAAAGTGAGACTAATCCATGCTGAGTTACAGGAACAGTTGTTTGTGGACCACTGGATTTCAGGTTTTCAGAGAGGTTATAAAAAGAAACAGACTGAAGACCACAGAAATCCTTTTCATAGCTGAAGCTGCTGGGTTTTCTTGGGAAATGGCTCTAATGCTGGCAGTTCCTTGGGCAGAGCAAGGACACAGGCTCATGCTAAGTTAAAGTACTGTAAGATTGGGAGGCAGGTACAAAGGTATGTATTATGAAATCCAACAAATGAGGCAGGCTGAAAATATCTGGTTGATGCCTAAGAAAAACATTTGTGGCCCATGGACCATGTGGCCGTGAAGTGCCAGAGCTACTACAGGAAGAAAAAAAGAGCTGCTGTATGTGTGCAGCTGAAGTACATAGAGCTGATACCTGGGAATAGAGGGTTAACATTGTGCCTGCTTGCTTAAGCAGTCACTGTGCTTGATGAAGCAGAACCGTAGGAGTCAAAGTTGCTAGAGTGGTGAAGAAGAATTGTAGGAGTTACAGCTGCTAGGCTGAATTGTAGTAGATAAGATTCATAACTTAACATTTAAGACATTCTTGTTTAAATAGTATCCATAGAAAGAAAAGCAACAAAAGATAACCAGAGTAACAAAATTTGCAAACTTGACAAGTTTCTGCTTTAAGATACATAAAACTGGCTTGTACTGAACCTGAGGTTTGGATAGGAGCCGAAACCCTATTGAGTCTGCGTGAAAGCAAGAGGTTACTCACGGTGATGAAGAGGAACTACAGGCCTTCATCCTCACGACCCCCTAACGACTACCACCAGGAGGCACTGCGCAAGCACATCAATGGGACGAATGCCAGAAAACTAACTATAATACTAGATGGGAATAGGTTTTGCATATGTATTAGGCGTGAAGCAATCTTATGTATACGTAATCATATGTAATATAAACAAACTGAATGACAAAGGAAAGGTGCGCATAGTTTTGGAGGAGTGATCCCTCATGTGCCTCAGCGCTGGATAAAAGCATACCTACTTTACAACTTTAACAAGTTGTGGAGTCTACCCGTGTATCAGAGCCTTCCCAGGACCAGGAGGAAGTCTGTGAGCTGAGGGGTCTCAGACATGCATGGGGCAGGGGAGGCTGCCAGACCTTTCACAGCGCTCAGTCAGCTTAGCTTCCACTGCATCCACTGCCTGCCTGCTCTTACCAGGCACTATTAGGCAACAGAAGTGGAAAGGAAATACTGCTTTGTGCAAATGAAATATCGTTAACACCAGCCTGCTGCCAGTGGACAAACAGGCTGTTGATAAGAAACCACTAAAATTATATATAGCTCGTTAGTCTGCTTTAGTGTGTTCATTGCACTGGAAATTATAGTCTGTCTCAGCTTATACATTAGCTAGTTTATACAATGTAAAGAGCTTAATAAAGCAGATGAAATATAGCACCAGTCAATTTTTCAAGAAGTCAGTATCTTCCATGCACCTAATAATAACAGGGAAGCTTTTAAAAACTCACATAGATCCAAGCTCGCTTTTAGAACCTGGGAAATTCATACATTACTGAATCTTCAATTGCAAAGTATTGTTTGGCTCTCATAGCTGTGTGTCTCTCCTGGCAGTTTTAGGTTTCTGCACCAGTCTAAATTGTCTCAGAATCTGATGACAGGTACAGGTGTGCACAGCAAACTCCTTTGTGGTGTGTTGAAACAGTAGGTGCCTCAGTCCTGACGCAAAGCGAAGGTTCTCTCTTTTTCACTCTCTTTAATGGTTTGTCATCTGTTGATCAATGCCACAGGCACATCACTTGTATGTACTTTAATTTCACAGATATGCATCCATTTCTCTGTGGATAATGAGGCATTAGCAGTGTTTCTGTCTCACAGGGCTTGAATGCTACTATTTGTTTAAAAACTTAGATGTCCTGTTTTGCCTTGCTTATAGAGGATTTATCTGTCTGCTAAGCTGTGGGATGAATGAATCATCCTGTTTGCTTGTTTTGGCTCCCAAATATGCTTCGTCATAAGTGCTAGAGAGGCCAGACTGTGACTGGAAATAGTTGATACTGTGTGTGTTTACTT